ACAGGGCACTGGACCAGGAATCAGGAGTCCTGGCCTAGAGTCCTGGCTTTGTCTTGGACCCGCGGTGTGACCAAAGAGGATCTCTCAAATTCTCTGATTTCAAGGTTCCCTTATCTATAAAGTGCAGGAAAACAGCCTGCCCTGTCTTCCTTATTGAGGCTTTGTGAGAGCTGAAGACATAATGGATGTGAAAACTGCGAAGGTTCTTATGGGAAAATTGTGATCATCCTATGGTTGCTGGGAGGGAGCACAGGTGTGTGAGGGCCTGCACACACTAGGACACGTTTGAGGGGCTGTGTGCTTGTAAGTGGGTCTGTGTCCGAGTACACACAGGTGATGGTGACCAAGAGAGACTAGGAGACCTGTAGCCAGCATCTGGGGGTGGGGATCGCACACAAGAGTCATCTTAGAGCTCATCTGCCTATGCTGGGTTGTACTGGTGCAAATGTGTACAAAAACCGTAGCGCCATCTCACCTGTGGGTTACGCCATTAGGGCACATGCTGGAGGCCTGACTGACAGCTTCTATGGGGACAGACAGGCCAGATGAGGCTGTTGATCTAGGGGTTGGCAGAAGACAACCTGAATCCTTCCCACCTCCCATCCTGGAAAGGGCCAGCCTCTCAAAGTGGCTATATTTCTTCCTTGAGCTGACCCCATGGTCTGCTGGAAGCAGGGCAGTGTTAGACAGCCCAGGGTCCTGTAGGAATTGTCCTCAGCTCCCCCTGCTTCTGTCTTCCCCCTGCCTGGCCCCCAGGTCCCCTCCTATCACTGGCTATGGATAGGGAAGACAGCCCTCATGAACACAGCTGACATTTCAATCTGTCTCCCAAGCTCTACGGATGCCTGCAAATTGCATCAAGACTTCATCACCCCTCCTGTCTGACACCCAGCCCTGTCTGGCCCCTGTCAGCCTGGCCCTCAAACAAGTGACAAATTACATTCCAGCCACTGCAGCAGACCCGCAAGAGGGTGCTTGAAACCCAGGGGACCAGAGCTGCACAGACAGCCTCTGACTGAGAACAGGGAGCCTTCTGGATAGGAGCCACTTCATTCCACACTCTCATCCCAACCCTCACCACCAAGCTGGGCTGGGAGCCAGGCCAGCTTGAAAGGGCCATGCCTCCCCCAGACCAGAAGGGGCCAGAGGTCTCAGTCTCAGTCTTCCCAGCTTTACAGACTGCTAGGAGCAAGGGTGGCTGCTGGGAACTCAAATCCCAACATCTTAAAAAAAGCCAGGCCAAGCCAAGACCCATCTCCTTGCTAAACCTGGCGGGGCTGGAGCTTGGGAATAAAGACGTCTAGATGTCAGGCCAGGCGCAGTGGCTCAAGCCTGTAATCCCAGCACTTTGGGAGGCCGAGATGGGCGGATCACGAGGTCAGGAGATCGAGACCATCCTGGCTAACACGGTGAAAGCCCGTCTCTACTAAAGAATACAAAAAACTAGCCGGGCGAGGTGGCGGGCGCTTGTAGTCCCAGCTACTTAGGAGGCTGAGGCAGGAGAATGGCGTAAACCCGGGAGGTGGAGCTTGCAGTGAGCTGAGATCCGGCCACTGCACTCCAGCCTGGGCGACAGAGCGAGCCTCCATCTCAAAAAAAAAAAAAAAAAAAAAAGATGTCTAGATGTCTATTTCTACAGAAGATGCCCCCATGAAGTTGGGAGGATAGAGAGCTGCCTTGTCTCAGCAAGGCAAGACTGCTTAACCCCTATGTGATCTTTTGCAAGTTCCTTAGCCTCTCTGTGCTTCTGTTTACTTGTGGGTATTTTACCACCTATCTTATAGAACTGTGGTGAGGACGAAAAGCACCTACTACAAGGTTTGACACACTCTATGATGGCAATTGTTGTTACTCTGTCACTACAGCTTCTCTCTGGTCCCCCAAAGCAGCAAGATGAGGAGCAAGAAGCTAGAGGTCAAGCCAGAGGTATACGGGGAACTAGGAAGAAAATCCAAATTAATTTCTAGTAATACTTCTCTGCCTTTGCTTTCGTGGTAATTTCCCTGTAGTGAGCATCCTCCCTTCCTCCTTCTCCCAGTGCTCCTCTCTTCAAGGCGCTCTGAGACCCACCTGCTTCAGGCGCTTTCCCTGAGCCTCTAAGCCCTTCGCTCTTCCCCCCGAGGATTCCTGCTGCCTGCATTCGGTGCCACTTAAGGCGGAATTATATGCTGCCTGGCATCTCTCGATAATTACAGATTCCACGTGTGTGAGTCTTGTTTTCCCAACTCTAGAATCACAGAATCTCCAAGTTTGAAGGGACCTCATCCAGCCTCCGCCTGCTGCAGGAATTCCCTGAGGAATGTCCCCAGCAGATGGTCAGGCAGCCTCCGCCCAAACGTGCCTGGGTGGGGAGTTTCTCACAGAGAGGAGATGCCTCGGCCTCCAGCACCCTGCCTTGAGCCTTCTCTTCAGCCCAAAGACCCACCAGGTCTTTCCTCTCAGGCAGGGGTAGGGACCTCTCCCTGCCCAGCTGCCCCTTCTGAAGTCCCCAGGGCACATCTCTTCTCAGCACCCAGTCTGAGGGGCCCTGAGCCTCGCAGCAGCCATCTCCTTGGACCTGGCTGGGCTCAGCATCCTCTATGTTTCTCAGCTCACAGGTATCTGATGGGGAATGTTCCTCCAGCAGCCCACACATTTACTCTCTCCACACATCTTTGTTGAGACTGGCCAGCGAAGAGGGCATTGTGACCCAACATGCCACCCTGGGCTTTAACAGCAAGATGGGCAGGGGCCAGTGGGGAGAGTCTGAAACAGAAGGACTGCCTGGCCTAGGCTGGGAGGCAGAGGATGTGGCCCTGAGATCTGAAAAGATGACCAGCTTCATCAGGAGAGGAAGAAGGGAAGGCACTGCCCCCGACAGAGTCCCATATGTGGATGCCCAGGGTGCGGAAGTGAGGGGTGGTCTGTGGCTGCAGTGCACATTAATGAGGGCTGCAGAGACACTGGCACCAAATGTGAGCTGGGCAGTTTGAACCGTGTCCTCTGGGCAATCTGAAATCAGCAGGAGATGAGTTGGGGATGGGAAGTGTGAGACAGACAGAAAGCCATTCTCAAGTGAAAAATAATGGGCAGGAGGTAATTAGGGCCAGGACATTAACAAAAGGATAGAGAAGAGGAACCCATTGGAGTATTTGGGAAATAAGATTGGGAAGGATTTGGTGACTCACTGATGCCACTTAACCAGGTGGTGAACCCTTGAAGACCCTGCTTCAGAGCAACATGGTAGAAAACTTGAGCCCATGTAGATCAGAGCTTTTGAGTTGCCCGAGGATCCTGTTAAAATGCAGAGCATGCTTTAGTGGGTCTGAGGTGGAGTCTGAGATTCTGCATTTCTTTTTCTTTTTCTTTTTCTTTTTTGGAAATGGAATTTCGCTTTTGTTATCCAGGCTGGAGTGCAATGGCGTGATCTCAGCTCACTACAACCTCCGCCTCCCAGGTTCAAGCAATTCTGCCTCAGCTGCTCGAGTAGCTGGGATTACAGGCATGCGCCACCACGCCCGGCTAATTTTTATATTTTTAGTAGAGATAGGGTTTCTCCACGTTGGTCAGGCTGGTCTTGAAATCCCAACCTCAGGTGAGCTGCCCGCCTCGCCCTCCCAAAGTGCTGGGATTACAGGCGGGGCCACAGCGCCCAGCCAAGATTCTGCATTTCTTACAAGTTCCCAGGTGAGGCTGATGCTGCTGGTCCAGGAACCACGTTTTAAGTAGCAGAGAACTCCACTAGTTCGTTTTATAAAATGAGGAAACTGAAGTTCAAATAGCAGCTTTTTTGTCCAAGATCACATGGTTAGGATGAGGTCCCACATCTCTGGGCTCCCAATCAATCCAGTGTTCCTTCTATCAAGCCATGCTGCTAATTTCCCTTTGGGCAGAGTCTGTCCTTGTCCAATCCTTGTTTGCCTGAATGGAGGCATGGAGCCCAGAAAGATGCTCAAGGGACTGAGGGCCTGAAGCTCAGCATGGTAGCAGAGGAGCCTGTGACAGCCAGGGGAAAGGATCGGAGAAAGAGGCTCAGATAAAAGAGACAGAGAATCACGACTGACACGTGGAGGGGCGTGGTGTAAGGCCCGGCTGACAGTCAGCAGGGGCCAAGTTGGGCAGGGCCTTGAGGGCTAAGCAAGGAGTTTGGACTACATATTATGGGCTTCATGGACTCAATAGGGAGCCACTGGAGGACTTAGACAAGGAAGCACCATGATCAGCAACAGATCTAAGACTGTTAACTGCTGAAAATACTGATCTAAGACTGTTAACTCAGAAAATACTGCTGTAGAGGGAGGAGTGGATTAAGCCCTACAGGCAGGAAGGCTGGCCAGGAGGCTGCTGCAGTGATGTAGTGCGCAGTAATGGCGATGAGCTGGGGAAGTGGCAGTGGGGATGAAGAGTAATGAATAGATTTGAGATCCAGTTGACAGGACTGAATGACTGATTGGGTATGAGGGAGGAGGCAAGATACCATTTTCTGATTTGGACACGGAGGGAGCTAGCAAGATCATTCCCAGGTGAACTGCTGGCTGGGGGAAGACAGTCACCTAGCATGAGGCAGGCTGGGTGTGAGGCATCCAACAGGGATGTCCAGGGGAAGCTGGGCACGTGGATCCGACACGTAAGACCTCATACTGCTGACCAGGGCATCGGACTCCATCTGGTTCAACACACCTCCCCCATCCCTACTTTACAGATGAGAAAACAGAGCCCAGGGAGGGGAAGGACAGGAAGCAGCTGGTGTATCTGAAAATCTGTGGAGACAGAAAGATGTGTTTACAAATCCCAGTTCTTCTAAGAATCTCTATGGGACCTTGGATAATTAATGTCTCTGAACTTTTGGTCCTGTCTCACACTGTGATGAGCTCCTCCTACACTGCTGAAGTGCCCGGCTTAGGGGCTGGGGGCTCCGATGCTCAAGGGGCATTGAGGATTGATCTGTCCGGGGCCTGCAGGATCCAGGCAGCAGGAAGAAGCCTGACTGCTTTGCTTTCCTCTCTCTACTCCACCGGCAGGTCCAGAATATCAGCCTCCGGGAAGGGGAGACAGTGACTGTGGAGGGCCTGGGGGGGCCTGACCCACTGCCCCTGGCCAACCAGTCTTTCTTGCTACGGGGTCAAGTCATCCGCAGCCCCACCCACCAAGCGGCCCTGAGGTTCCAGAGCCTCCCACCACCGGCTGGCCCTGGCACCTTCCATTTCCATTACCAAGGTAAGGCCTGGGTAGCTGAAGGCGGAACCAGCCCAGACTCACTGCCCTCCTTGCGGGAGAGACGGGTCTCTGTGCAATTACATCCTAGAGGGAAGAAGCAGGGAGGGGCTAGTGACACATAGCACAAGTGTCCAGTGAAGCTCTGGACAATTGGAGGTAAGTATCGCACATCTGAAACCTCCAGGATCTTCTCTCTTCCACCCACCACCCTGCAGAGAGCTGGTCTTGACTCAGGATCAGGCAGCCTCCAGGTGTGCCCATTGTCCCTCATTCATCCATTCAGCAAACTTTTCCTAGGCACCTGCTCTTTGCCAGGCTTGTGCTGGACACTGGCAATGTCAGGATGCACCAAAACGTCCTTGTCCTCAAGGAGTTCTTTCTCAGGAGGAGGCAGACACTTAAACAGGCAATAACAATAGAAGCCCTCCCCCTATGCAAGAGGGTGAAGGTCAAAGGGATTTGACAATGACCATCTGGAGGTCTTAGCTGCCAGACTGCCCTTCCTGAACTGCCTCACCCACCTTGACCTGGCCCATGCCCCAATCAGCTCAGAACACCTCTGGAAATAAGGGAGCAGCATGATGCGATGAAAAAAATCACAGACTCAGGCAATGGGCAGATCTGTGTTTGAATCTCCTCACTGGCTATTGACCTTGGACAGGTCATTTGACCTCTCTGACCCTTCTGCTGTAATATGAAACCAAAACACCTACCCCACAAAGTCATGGTTAGGATTAAGCAAAATGGTACACGTCAAGTGCTTAGCACATGCTCCATTAAGGAAACCAGTATTACATGACCGGCAGGATGGGAAAGGGAGGAAAAGGGGCTCAGGACTTCGAAGCTCTCTCAGTTGTGTCCCTCCTACCCATCCCCCTCTCTGAGCACAAAGTCAGCTTGATCCTTTGCATGGGTTAACTAGTTGAGACTAGGGAGAACTAATAGGGAAATAATTGGTGTGAACAGTCACGGGATTGTCTTGCATTGTCATGGACCACTTCTGTGGCCCTGCAGGGGACCACAGCTGGGCAGAAGAGCCAGCACTCTGGAGATGGGGCTGTTTGGAACCCCACCTAAGGAGCACTCACCCCACCTTCAGCCCTCCACCCAAACTAAGGGAGCAGTCTGGCATAGCAGCAGGGAGCCTGGAAGTGGATGGGGCTGTAGAGTGGCTTGGCAGAGGCAAGGGGCCAGCTGAGGCAAGGGTGAAACGTCTAGGCGGCCCAGCTAGCCTCCCTAATGGCTCATCAATCCTCCCTGGCAGCAGGCATAATTTCACGCCATGGTAACCTTCTCTCTTGCTGCAAATTCCTTTGCACAAAACTCTGGACCTCCTCTCTGTCGGGCCAGACAAAGGTGGCTGAATGGCAGTGAGCTGGAGGCCCAGCAAGGGGGAGCAACCTCCAAGGAAGGATTGGGAGAGCTGGCCTGGTCCTGCCTCCTTCTCAGCTCCCAGAAGCCCTCCCTCGTCAGCCCAGTTTTTGTCAATGATCAGCTCTTGCCTTAATGAGTGTAATTCCCCTAATTATAGGCTGTAATTAGCCCTGATCCCAGAGATGGGAACAGGAGGAGCATGTGCTCACACGCCAATCTCTGTGGGCTAGAGAAAGAGGGTGCCATAAGAGGGGGTGAGGGGCCTAGTACCCACACCTGTGCTGGAGCTGTCCAAGCTGATGTTGGAGGTCCCAAGGATGAGCCCTCACAAGGGCCTCATCGCAGGACCAAGTTCCAACTCCCTTCCTACAGCCTCAGGCAGGGTGGGGAGGCAGACGGCCCTGACAGACATTCCCCTCCTCCATCCCCAGCATTCCTGGCACTGGACTTGGCTCCAGAAACAGACTCCAGTGAGAAAATAACTCAACAGATTGCAGTGGTGCAGGCTCCCCGGGAACGGTTGTCATGGCAACAGGAGGAAGCTCATCCTGGGAAGTGGTACTTTAACTACTATGGAGTCTGGGGTCTTCATTGTCTGCCCCCAGCCTCCTACCCTCACCCTATTCCAGGCCAGTTTCCTCATCTGTGAAATGAGGGCCCTCCCTTACTAGAGTTGTGATAAGAACTCAAAGGGGAAGATGTAGGGGGAAATGCTGGGCCTGAATCTGGCCTGGTCTAGACCCCACTAGGCATCAGTTAACCTCTTAACCTCCGCCACTCTGGGCGTGGTGCCCCCCACCCCTTTCCCCATCCCATCCTGGCCTGGGATCTCTCCCCAGGTCACTGTGAGTGGCTGCCCTGGACAACAACCCAGAGCAGGCTTGTCTGTTACTCTCAGATTTCTCTGACTCCTGAACCCAAGTTTCTACTTCAAATGGGGATGCAGGTGGGGTGGTGGTGGAAAGCAAGAAGGCTCCAGAGCCCAGGAGCTTCAAGTTCCTGGTCTAGCGCTTCCTTGCTATGTGATGAGGGCACAGGGTCTCTCTGAACCTGTTCTCATCTGAAAATGGGCTAATAGCCCCTACCTTGCCTGCCTTCCTCCCAAGCATATTGTAGACATCAAGAAAGAAGAGTGTGGAGGCATTTTAGAATCTGGAAGGTACATGCAGATGTGAGGTGCTATTATTAATCAAGATTACAAACAATAACAGCAGGCTGATGTCTTAGGCATTTGTTCAGGAACTGCACATATGTCTTCTCACTTAACCTCACAACCTTGGATGTAATACTGAAAATGGGTGGATAAATGAGGCAACTGAGGCAGAGAGAATTTAGGTAACTTGTCCGCGGTGGCACAGCACGTAGGGAAGAAGCCTGCATTCAAACCCAGGCAGTCTGACCCACAGTCCACCTGCTGAGCACTGCCCTGTACTGCCTGCCAAGCACAACTAGCCACTTACTGACCATTCTTTCCAGAGCCCCGTGAGAGACAGAAGAGGACGAATTCTCCTCCCACTTTCACAGATATAGTAACAGGACAGGTGAAAGTCATAAAACTCAAATTTATGGACCCTGCTCTGCACAGAGACAGCCCCTTTTTCTTTTTCTTTTTAATGGGGGGAGGAAAGAGGGCCCATTTTTCTATTCACACAAAGGCACCCAGGAACAGAGACCTTGCATGGACCTCTCCTCCCATTTACCTGATACTATCAGTGGGGCTGCCCCCTACCCCAAGACCCAAGTTCTTCAGTCTAGACAATCCTCACTTTTCTGACCACCCCAGGGGTTATCAGGCTCTGTAGCACAAGCCTCTTGCCTCTCCTTGACCCCTCCAGGCCTCTGCTCTCACCTCTCAGAGGCAAGCCAGGATCTTCACTTTTTTTTTGAGAAAGAGTCTCGCTCTGTCACCCAGGCTGGAGTGCAATAGCACAATCTCCACTCACTGCAACCTCTGCCTCCTGGGTTCAAGCAATTCTCCTGCCTCAGCCTCCCAAGTAACTGGGACTACAGGCGGGTGCCACCACGCCCAGATCAATTTTTTTTGTATTTTCAGTAGAGATGGGGTTTTACCATGTTGGCCAGGCTGGTCTTGAACTCCTGGACTTTGTGATCTACACACCTCAGCCTCCCAAAGTGTTGGGATTACAGGCGTGAGCCACTGCGCCTGGCCGGATCTTCACTTTTATTTTATTTTATTTTATTTTATTTTATTTTATTTATTTTTTGAGACATGGAGTCTCACTCTGTCGCCCAGGCTGGAGTACAGTGGCACGATATCGACTCACTGCAACCTCCACCTCCCAGGTGCAAGCGATTCTCCTGCCTCAGCCTCCCGAGGCGTCTGCCACCGTGCCCAGCTAATATTTTTGTTTTTTTTTTTTAGTAGAGATGGGGTTTTGCCATGTTGGCCACGCTGGTCTTGAACTCCTGACCTCGGGCCATCCGTCCGCCTCAGCCTCCCAAAGTGCTGGGATTACAGGAGTGAGCCACTGCATGCGGTTGAGCCTTTTAGCTACCACCCCAGCTTGACCCCAGGATCTGGATATGCCAGGTAGTTTTGTAGGATTTGCTGCCACCATTTGGTCAAATTTGGTATGACAATTCCAAAGCGACCAGGTTTCCCAGGGCAACTTGTTCTTCCTGCAACTTCCATGAAGGCAGTGCACTGCCTCCCTGCCATCGTCCCCATCTTTTTCTTGTTTGATGTTGTTTTTTTGAAACAGGGATGCACTCTGTCACCTAGGCTGGAGCTCAGTGGTGCAATCATAGTTCACTGCAGCCTTAAACTCCTAGGCTCAAGCGATCCCACTTCAGCCTCCTGAGTAGCTAAGACTACAGGTATACATCACCATGCCTGGCTATTTTTTTAAAAATTTTTATAGAGATGGGGATACCTCACTATATGGCCCAGGCTGGTCTCAAACTCCTGGCCTTAAGCAACCCTCCCACCTTGCCTCAGCCTACCACCATTCTGGATTTTGTTTGTTTGTAAGTTTGTTTTTTTGAGACGAAGTCTCACCCTTGTCCCCCGGGCTGGAGCGCAATGTCATGACCATGGCTCACTGCAACCTCTGCCTACAGGGTTCAAGCGATTCTCCTGCCTCAGCCTCCCGTGTAGCTGGGATTACAGACGCCTGCCATCACGCCCGGCTAATTTTTGTATTTTTAGTACAGATGGGATTTCTTCATGTTGGCCAGGCTGGTCTCGAACTCCTGACCTCAGGTGATTCGCCCGCCTCAGCCTCCCAAAGTGCTGGGATTACAGGCTTGAGCCACCGCTCCCGGCTGTTTGTTTGTTTTGAGATGGAGTTTTGCTCTCGTTGCCCAGGCTGGAATGTAATGGCACAATCTTGGCTCACCACAACCTCCACCTCCGGGTTCAAGCGATTCTCCTGCCTCAGCCTCTCAAGTAGCTGGGATTACAGGCATGTGCCAGCATGTCCTGCTAATTTTGCATTTTCAGTAGAGACGGGGTTTATCCATGTTGGTCAGGCTGGTCTCGAACTCCCGTCCTCAGGTGATTCACCTGCCTCAGCCTCCCAAAGTACTGAGATTACAGGCATGAGACACCGACCCGGCCGCCATTCTGTTTTAAAAGAAGTCCACAGCCATTGGCATCAAGCTTTTTAGCATTTCTCAGTGAATACTGGGAAAGCCTTTATCGTCTGACTTCAGTCTTTGCTGCTGCAATTCATATTTATTCCCTAAAGGAAAAACAGTATCAACACTTTACATCAGTATAGGTTTTTCACTATTTCGAGTGCTTTCATGTCTAGAGTCATTCAATAAGCATATATTGAAGATATATTATCAGCTGGGTACCAGGGATACCAAGCTAGATAAAATACTATCCCATTTATTCTCACAGTAACCCTGTGGGTGGGCTGGGATTTTAAACCTCATTTAACAAATGAGGAAACACACACAAAAAGATTAAATAACCTGCCTAAAGTGTCACAAAGTTTGAGCCAGAACCCAACCCTTCTAATTTCCAGCTCTGTGTCTGCTCCACTAACCAGCCCAGGCTGCCGGAAATATCATTGACACCTTCTAGGGAGGAGATTGGAGTCGTTTTGGAACTCCTAGTGCTTCCTCTGGCCCCAAATGACACCTCCAGGCAGACTGAGGCAGACCTTCCCCCACCAATGGCTTAGCTCCCGCCCCCACCCTGCACATGTACAGTGTCGCCCGTTCTCTGTTTGCAGCCTATCTCCTGAGCTGCCACTTTCCCCATCGTCCAGCTTATGGAGATGTGACTGTCACCAGCCTCCACCCAGGGGGTAGTGCCCGCTTCCATTGTGCCACTGGCTACCAGCTGAAGGGCGCCAGGCATCTCACCTGTCTCAATGCCACCCAGCCCTTCTGGGATTCAAAGGAGCCCGTCTGCATCGGTGAGTGTCCCCAGGCGAAAGGGCTCAGTGCCGATCAGAGAAGTGAGGTGGGGGCTCCCCCCTGCTCTCTATTGCTGTCTGCCACTTTAATTTGCTCTTCATAAGGAAGCCAGAAAATGGCCGCGCACCTCAGTGGCATTCATCCAACCTGCACTTACTGAGCATCTACTAGATGAAAGCACCACAGGTATACAGAGCTGAATTAAACAGGGACTATGCCCTCAAAGAACCCACATTTCCAGGAAAGGGGGAAAGGAGAAAGCAGAGAGGTCACCAATTTCCAGGGCAAGAAGTAAAAAGCACCAATGAAAAGACATAAAGTGACCTGGGAGGCCAGGGCACAATCATTCTTAGCTGGACATTTAGGAGGCTTCCTAGGGGAGGTGGCACTGCAGGTTTGACATTTAGATGAAGGGAACAACGTGGGCAGGGACATAGAGGCAGGAAAGTGAGGGTGTTTAGGGACACAGAAGACAGCCAGGTTTGGCTGAAGTCTGAGACAATGTGGCAAGGGCAATGGGAGGGCCTTGAGTGTCGGGGCAAGATACAGGCTGAGGAGCTGTTGAAGCTTATGAGAGAAGGGAGGGGCTTAGAATGCCTCAGGAGATGGCTGGGAGGCCAGCCAGGCAAGACAGTTTGAACTTACATTGTGAGTTGGGGAAAGAAGAGGAGGGAAGTTCCAGAAACTGATGGGAACTGGGGAAAGGGAAAGGGAACTCCCAGGTCTGGTCCTGAGTGATCAGGTCTGGGATTGCCACCAATGAAAGGGGGCTTGTTGGAGAAAGGAAGACGCAGTATTTCATTTGCAGTATGAAAGGCAACTTGGGCTTTTCTTTTTAGTGGGTATGGGCTTAGGCTTTTGAATTTTTTTTTTTTTTTTAGATGGAGTCTCCCTTTGTCACCCAGGCTGGAGTGCAGTGGCACGATCTCCGCTCACTGCAACCTCTGCCTCCCGGGTTCAAGTGATTCTCCTGTCTCACTCTCCAGAGTAGCTGGGGTTACAAGTGTATGCCACCACACCCAGCTAATTTTTTTGTATTTTTAGTAGAGATGGGGTTTCACCATGTTGGCCAGTCTGATCTCGAACTCTTGACCTCAGGTGATCCACTTGCCTCGGCTTCCCAAAGTGCTGGGATTACAGGCTTCAGCCACCGTTGAATCCAGCGATGAATCTTATTTCATTCTATAAATTCTTCTTGGGTGCCAGGCACAACCAGAGATGAATAACACAGACGCATTCTCAGCCCTCAAGGATCTAGCGGGGAGGCCAGCAAGCAGCTCAGTGCAGAGGATGCTACAATAGGAGTAAAGGCAGAGTGGTGGAGGGGCCTCAGGGACAGAAAGCTACTCCAAGATGAGGGAGGAGACAAGCAAGGCTTCCCAAGGAGACAGGATGAAAGGATTTCAGAAATATTAGTTTGGGAAAGTGGGGTGGATTCCTGGAACAGCATATGCAGAGGTGTAGAGGCATGAAATAGCATGAGATAGTGAGGACACAGTGAAGTGTGCCTGAAGGAGAGGGTATGCAGGGAGAGGGGACTGAAGCAGAGTCTAGAGAGAGTTGGATTCATAAAGGGCTTGAATGCTATTTTCAGCTTTAACTCCAAGAAGGTTGAAGCCCACAGTAAGGGCTTTAATAAAGTCCACCTGGGGAAGAGTCGGCCTTCTAGAGAAGTCAGCAGAGAGGGAAAGTGACTTACCTGGGCACACAAGCAGGCAGTGACACATCTACCCACAGTCAAGAGAGATGCCCTGGTGAGCCCCAAGGGTGTGAAAGGTTAGGCGGCAGGATTCTGGAGCTCAAGATGCCTGGAGATGCAAGTTCACAGGGCTAAAAGTTTACCTTCAGGACCATGAGAGCAAAGATGGCAGGGAGGCAAGGTCCCCGCTGCTCCAAGCAGAGGAAGCAGAGCTGGGAAAGGGAGGAAGGCATGTTAGGCTGCCTGGGTTCAGGCAGGGGCCTAGGCTACCTCCTGTCCTGGTCTTACAGCTGCCTGCGGCGGAGTGATCCGCAACGCTACCACCGGCCGCATCGTCTCTCCAGGCTTCCCGGGCAACTACAGCAACAACCTCACCTGTCACTGGCTGCTTGAGGCTCCTGAGGGCCAGCGGCTACACTTGCACTTTGAGAAGGTTTCCCTGGCAGAGGATGATGACAGGTGAGGGGCTGTCCTAGTGGAATGGGAGTGCCTGGCCTGGTAATACCCTACTGGAGGGACGCTACCCAAGCCTGGGGCCACACCCCCTCTGGGTCAGCCACCAGCCTACATAGCTGCCACTCTCCTGGTTCAGGCTCATCATTCGCAATGGGGACAACGTGGAGGCCCCACCGGTGTATGATTCCTATGAGGTGGAATACCTGCCCATTGAGGGCCTGCTCAGCTCTGGCAAACACTTCTTTGTCGAGCTCAGTACTGACAGCAGCGGGGCGGCTGCAGGCATGGCCCTGCGCTATGAGGGTGAGCCTGCTGGGGCCTCACTGGGGGTGGGGGGTCCAGGGGAATGGGCTTGGGCCTAGGGTCTTTCTCCCACACCCTACCCCTCTCTGCCTCCATGCTGTCACTCCTTCCAAGTCAGCCCCTGCTCACTCGGTACTTAGGCCCCCTTTCCCTGCCCCTCTCTTTGGGTCCAGGATCCCTACCCCAGCTTTGCAGGAAACCTCTGCCTGGACCCAGTCCCTGTGGTCCAAGGGAATAAATTCTCCAGATTCTGAAAAGCAAAAAAGGCCTCAACCCTTAAGAAAGAATTGCTGTAGGAGACATTCTAGAACCATTTATGCATGTATGCATTGATTAATTCATTCAAAAAACATGTACGGAGTACCTTCTGTGTACTAAGCACAAAACCAGGCACTGGGAACAGCATGGTGATCAAGATGGCCTCCTGAGCATAATAGGGATGGATGCTCTTGGCTGTTCCTCCTCCATCACCTTTCTGCTCCAACCCCAGGACATATATTTGTCATTCGTACCCAGGAAAAGAAAGGCTCTGGGGAGGGAAGTAGGGGGATTCTTGCCCACTGTGTTTAATACCAGTCAAGGCTGAGCTAGGCTGGGCCCTGTGGTTTACAGCCTTCCAGCAGGGCCATTGCTATGAGCCCTTTGTCAAATATGGCAACTTCAGCAGCAGCGCACCCACCTACCCTGTGGGTACGACTGTGGAGTTCAGCTGCGACCCTGGCTACACCCTGGAGCAGGGCTCCATCATCATCGAGTGTGTTGACCCCCACGACCCCCAGTGGAATGAGACAGAGCCAGCCTGCCGAGGTCAGTAGGCACCAGTGGATGGGCCTGCTAGGCAAAAAGCAGGGTGGGTATCAGGGGAATAGCCACAGAGCCTGGGGCCACAGAGGCCCTGTGATATGCGTGGTTCAGGCTTCCTCCAAGGAGGAGGTGGGGGGTCCCAGCAACTGGTGGGCACTCCTGTGGGCAGATGGTAAACACCACCATGGTAAGCTGGAAAAGACCCTTCTGGACCTCCCTTGCCTTCCAGCCGTGTGCAGCGGGGAGATCACAGACTCAGCTGGTGTGGTGCTCTCTCCCAACTGGCCAGAGCCCTACGGTCGTGGACAGGATTGCATCTGGGGTGTGCATGTGGAAGAGGACAAGCGCATCATGCTGGACGTCCGAGTGTGAGTGCCTACCGGGTCAGGCTGAGCCAACTCCTGAGGTCTGGGGATATCCCTTGTCCAGCCCATCCTCGGGCCCCCGAGCCAGCTCTGCCCTGACGCTCCTCCTCCACAGGCTGCGCATAGGCCCTGGTGATGTACTTACCTTCTATGATGGGGATGACCTGACAGCCCGGGTCCTGGGCCAGTACTCAGGGCCCCATAGCCACTTCAAGCTCTTTACCTCCATGGCTGATGTCACCATTCAGTTCCAGTCGGACCCCGGGACCTCAGTGCTGGGCTACCAGCAGGGCTTCGTCATCCACTTCTTTGGTGAGCTTGTCCCTACCCTACTCAGAGTGCAGACAGCAAGCCATGGCAAGTCAAAGAGGCCAGGGCAGTGAGGTGCCTGAATGCTCTCTCAGACAAGAGGAAGCTGGAAAAGCACCAGGGATCACCCAGAGGAAGCTAGTCCTGTTCTCCATCTGCCCTGTGGGGGAGCCAGAATTCTGAAGTGGCAAGAGGGGTTTGGGTAGGCAGCAGAACAACTTTCTTTTTCTTCCTTTTTTTTTGGTGGGGGGGACAGTGTCCCTCTGTCACCCAGGCCATGGTGCAATCTCTGCTTATTGCAACCTCCACCTCCTGGGCTCAAGTGATTCTCGTGCCTCGTCCTCCTGAGTAGCTGGGATTACAGGTGCATGCCACCATGCCTGGCTAATTTTTGTATTTTCAATGGAGACAGGGTTTCGCCATGTTGGCCAGGCTGGTCTCAAACTCCTGGCCTCAAGTGATCTGCCCACCTCAGCCTCCCAAAGTGCTGAGATTACAGGTGTGAGCCACTGCACCTGGCCAGAACAACTTTCAAACAAAAATGGGGGAACTAAGGAAAGGTGCTGGCTTCTTTCTGACAATCTTTCATAGAAGTGACAATTTCCCTCACCCTGCCTGGCCCCATCTCTCAGGCCTAAGGAACTGGTCAAGGTGCTTTTGGAAGTAAGGCCAAAGATTAAATGCTAACCCTGGAATCTAGGAGACAGAGCAATGTCAGAGGCAGTCAAGGAGGGGCCCTTGAGAAGAGAGGAATGGATAACTGAGCCCGCTCAGGACAGTCTAGGTCCAGGACAAATTAGAAGGAGCCAGAGTACCCTGAAGATGAGGGGGACAGTCACTTTGGTGCTGGCCGAGGACCTGCATCTTGTGCCTCTGTGCCCCCAGAGGTGCCCCGCAATGACACATGTCCGGAGCTGCCTGAGATTCCCAATGGCTGGAAGAGCCCATCGCAGCCTGATCTAGTGCACGGCACTGTGGTCACTTACCAGTGCTACCCTGGCTACCAGGTGGTGGGATCCAGTGTCCTCATGTGCCAATGGGACCTGACTTGGAGTGAGGACCTGCCCTCATGCCAGAGGGGTGAGTATATCTGTTCCCCATGCTCCCCTTCCCAATGCAACCTCCACACCTCTCTCCTGGATTCTGAACCAGACTGTAGCTGTTATTAGCTAGTATCCTCAAAGTTCCTTCACCTCTTATAGCCTCAGTTTCCTCATCTGTGAAATGGGGATGATACCTTTTCATGGTGTTATCAGCCAAGTACTCTAAGTATTTCATTCCTGGTAGATGGCCAATCAGTGTTTATCGAACCTAATAGATGGAAAGGGGACAAATGGCGGGGACACACCAGCACAATGGTAGGGACAGACACATAGGGGGTAGACCCATATGACATGAAGAAGTTAGCTGGCCTGGAACAAAGCCAGGGTGGACTGGCCTCTGCTTAGTTCTCCTTGGGCTACTTCTCCCCATCATCCCCTACCCATAGTGACTTCCTGCCATGATCCCGGAGATGTGGAGCACAGCCGACGCCTCATATCCAGCCCCAAGTTTCCTGTGGGGGCCACCGTGCAATATATCTGTGACCAGGGTTTTGTGCTGACGGGCACCTCCATCCTCACCTGCCATGATCGCCAGGCCGGCAGCCCCAAGTGGAGTGACCGGGCCCCTAAATGTCTCCGTAAGTGTCAGTTGAGTAGGAAGGAAAACCTCTAGTTGGAGATAAAAGATGCTGCCTTGGAGGCCAAGGGCATGACACCCTCACTGCGCTCTGCCTGCTTTGCAGTGGAACAGCTGAAGCCATGCCATGGTCTCAGTGCCCCTGAGAATGGTGCCCGAAGTCCTGAGAAGCGGCTACATCCAGCAGGGGCCACCATCCACTTCTCTTGTGCCCCTGGCTATGTGCTGAAAGGCCAGGCCAGCATCAAGTGTGTGCCTGGGCACCCCTCACATTGGAGTGACCCCCCACCCATCTGTAAGGCTGGTGAGTGCCCTGTCACTCCTCAAAACCCTCCCTGGCCCATAGAGCTGCTCTGGCAAAGATGTCCAATGTTGAGAACCAGAACCACCTGCCCATGCCACCTTCATAGTAATAGAATAGACCCTTGGTCTCCCCAGTCTCTGCCAGATCCTTCTGATCTGGCATCACCAAGACAAATGCTGGAGTGGGCTCTCCTTGGACAAATCCTTCCTATGATCATCCCACTACCTCTGCTCCCTGCCTTAGTGGTTTGGGCCACTGGGCTCACCCACTGCCCTTGGCCCTCCCCTTTTGTTCCAGCCTCTCTGGATGGGTTCTACAACAGCCGCAGCCTGGATGGTGAGTCTCAACCCTTGAGGGCCACATAAGTGGTCTCCCTGGTCCTGGTTCTCACGGCTCCCAGGTCATGGGCTTCCCAAGGATGGAGGGCAGAGAAAGAGAGGGGTTTGGGCCTAGCAGGGTAAAAAGTTTCCCTGCACCCAGTCAGCTAGAGGGAGCTGGTAGCCAGATGCCCTTGGGCAGAGGTGAGAGAATATGGGATCCAAGTGACAGAGACCTCTGCCCCAGTCCCACCCTCTGTGTCTTCAGTTGCCAAGGCGCCTGCTGCTTCCAGCACCCTGGATGCTGCCCACATTGCAGCTGCCATCTTCTTGCCACTGGTGGCGATGGTGTTGTTGGTAGGAGGTGTATACTTCTACTTCTCCAGGTGAGTCTGGTTTCTCTTTCTGCTCTGCATACCTGCATACTTCACTCCTACCCAGTGCTCCTGACTCACAGGCTTCTCTGCCCCACAGGCTCCAGGGAAAAAGCTCCCTGCAGCTGCCCCGCACACGCCCCCGCCCCTACAACCGCATTACCGTAGAGTCAGCATTTGACAATCCAACTTACGAGACTGGAGTAAGTAACCATGCCAACCTTGCCACCTTATCCAAGACCCAGTTCTTTGCTTCTTTGGGCAGATAACCCTGAGGGTCCTGCCAAGCCCTCTCACTTTTTTTCCTTTTCCTAGGGAAGGTGAATTATGGCCTGGCAAACCTAATACAAGTTTCCAACTCCCAGCAGTCTCTTTCCTTTGCAGGAGACGAGAGAATATGAAGTTTCCATCTAGGTGGGGGCAGCCTAGGGAAGCCAACTCAGACCTGCACCACAGTCCAGCAGCAAGGCTCCTTGTTTCCTGCTGTCCCTCCACCTCCTGTACATACCACCTGGGAGGAGATGCCACCAATCCCTCAAGAAGTTGTGCCCTTCCCTGCCTGCAATGCCCACCATGGCCTATTTTCTTGGTGTCATTGCCCACTAGGGGCCCTTCTTTGGGCCCATGTCAGGGGGCATCTACCTGTGGACAGAACACAGCTGGAGCACAAGCATCAACAGCCAGCATCCTGAGCCTCATCATGCCCTGGACCAGCCTGGAACACACAAGCAGAGCAGGAGTACCTTTCTCCATATGACCACCATCCTGCCCTGGCATAGCAACCTGCAGCAGGGTCAACTTGACCATGGTGGAAACTGCACCAGGGTGCTCCTCACAGGGCCATCACCAATGGCCAAAACTCCTCTCAATGGTGACCTCTGGGTAGTCCTGGCATGCCAACATCAGCCTCTTGGGAGGTCTCTAGTTCTCTAAAGTTCTGGACAGTTCCACCTCCTGCCCTGTCCCAGTGGAGGCAGTAATTCTAGGAGATCCTAAGGGGTTCAGGGGGACCATACCCCCACCTCAGGTTGGGCTTCCCTGGGCACTCATGCTCCACACCAAAGCAGGACACCCCATTCTCCATGACCGCCCTATACCCTGAGGAGAGGGAGACTTTCCTCCAATGTTTATTTGGCTGTTACAAACATCTTCATCCCAATACTCCCTCCTCCAATTCCAGCCACTTGTCAGGCTCTCCTCTTGGCCACTGTGTTACGGGATAAGGGGAGGGGGTGGGCATATTCTGGAGAGGAGCAGAGGTCCAAGGACCCAGGAATTTGGCATGGAACAGGTGGTAGGAGAGCCCCAGAGAGACACCCAGGAGCTAGCTGAAAACCACTTTGTACATGTAATGTATTATATGGGGTCTGGGCTCCAGCCAGAGAACAATCTTTTATTTCTCTTGTTTCCTTACTAAAATGGTGTTTTTGGAAAAAAAAAAAAAAAAAAAAAAAGCAATGGCCAGGTGAATGATGCTTTCTTGGAGGGACAGGAGGTGAGAGATAAATGGGATATGGACTTCAGGACCAGAAGGCATGCTAGACCCACCAACCAGTCATCCTCAGATTTTTATTACTACTGTTTTTGAGATAGGGTCTCACTGTGTCATCCAGGGTGGAGTGCAGTGGCTGGCTCACAGTTCACTGCAGCCTTGACCTCCAAGGTTCAAGTGATCCACCTCAGCCTCTTGAATAGTTAAGACTACAGGTGCAGACCACTACACATGGCTAATTAAAAAACAAAAATTATTGTAGAGACAGGGTCTTACTATGTTGCCCAGGCTGGTCTCCAACTCCTGGGCTCAAGTGGTCCTCCCACCTCAGCCACCCAAAGTGCTCAGATTTTATTTTAAAACAAATTGTTACATGCAGTTGAACAGGGTCCCCTGTCGCAAAAGAGACAGTGCAACAGATGGCAGGCAAAATCAGAGGCCCCAATGGCTGGTGTTGCAGGGATGTGGGAGCCCAGGAACCCCACTGCACATCCACCCAATGCCTTATTTCCCCCTTCTTACCAGGTCCAGAACTATAGGCTGGCACACTCCCAAATCCCTTCTCAATGCCACTGATGCCCTTCTCAATGCTAACTAGGCTCAGGAAGCCTGATGCTCTCCTTCCCCTTATTTCTAAGTAAGCAAGGCTTGGGAAATTGGAATAGGAAACAGAGACTGATTCCCCAGAACATGAAGCCCTAATCTGGCTTGGCATTAGAAAACAGATTGTCGGGAGCAGTGGTAATGCAGCTTAGGGGCTTGGCTCCTAAGTTAGGCAAAGGCCCTAATCATGGCCTCTGGAAAAAGGTGGCTGGGAGGATCTTCTTAAGTTTGCCCCTTCCCTATGGGCCCCAGTACCTACCAAGATGGAAAGTGCCCAGCGTCGCCCCCCAGTATGCACATTCCATGCTGAGAGGTGTGCCCTGCGTCACTGCTCTCCAAGAGTAACAGCAAGAGGCAGGCAACAGGAAAATATGGGAGTTCAGAAACCAGTAGAGAAAAATTCACGAAAGAAATAATAGCAGCAACCAGCGCCTTCTGCTTCTACAGTGTTCCAACAGGGAAGTCTTGACCACTCATGCTGCCTACCCCTGGCTCTAGCACAAGCCACCTTGAAGGATGAGACGCTCTTGTCAATGCAGAGTGCAGTGCCTAGATTAGCCACAAGAGGTCACTTCCAAAGGCATCTGTATCCCACCTGCTCGCTCCTCAATCCCCCCTGAACGGTCAGAGCGGGAGCTCTCCAAGGTGGCACCATTCCTTGGCCCCACTGGCCTAACCTCATCCTCCAAGTTCCAAGAAGAAGGTGTGTGAAGTTTCCCTGGCTCTTGTCAACAGAGCCAAGTCTTATTTCCCTATTAGCCCATAGTTCCTATTATCAGCTGCAACTGATGGTGTTGATCAAAGCAAAGCCTTGTTCAGTGGATGGACACCAATGGCTTACTTATCTGTTCCATAATGCCTTCAGGCTGACACAGCAGCACAGCTGGGCCCTGAGCAGTAGGAAAAAAAGCCAAAGAGAGAGGGCACATGAGGTTCTAACCTCTGAGAGCCTGTGGCATAAAGTATAGCCATAGAAGATAGAAAATCTTGCCTCTTTCATACAAACAATCTAGCTCAGCCCTCCCCTCTCTGAGGGCCACATCTCTGGTCCACAGCCACTGAAGTTTATTGTTGGCTCAGGCTGGTAGAAAGCAGAGAGCAGCCAATTCACATGACATTCTCCACCCCACCATCCACGACCTTATCATTCTTTCCAGGCACCAAGAGGGTCATCAGAAAAGCGAAAAGTCAGGAAAACAGAAACCTAAGACTCTGTACACTGACATCCCTACTCTACCTAACTCATCCTCCTTACTGTACCCAAAGAAAGCACAGCAATTCCTTACACACAGTCGACATGGTGTAATGGACAGTGTCTGGTTTGAGAATCAAGAAATCTAATTCTTAGGTCTGCCATAAATGCACTATGTGACCTAGGCAGATCACTGCTCCTCCGTGTGCATCTAGAAACGAGGGGATTAAATCAGATGGTCTCTAAATCCTTTCTAGCTTTACGACTCTGAGAATGCTAAGGGTCCCTTAACATTAAAAGTGGGCCGAGTAGGCCGGGCGCGGTGGCTCAAGCCTGTAATCCCAGCACTTTGGGAGGCCGAGACGGGCGGATCACGAGGTCAGGAGATCGAGACCATCCTGGCTAACACGGTGAAACCCCGTCTCTACTAAAAAATACAAAAAACTAGCCGGGCGAGGTGGTGGGCGCCTGTAGTCCCAGCTACTCGGGAGGCTGAGGCAGGAGAATGGCGTGAACCCGGGAGGCGGAGCTTGCAGTGAGCTGAGATCCGGCCACTGCACTCCAGCCTGGGCGACAGAGTGAGACTCCGTCTCAAAAAAAAATAAATAAATAATAAAAATTTTAAAAAGTGGGCCGAGCACAGTTACGAAGCAACAACTCCAACTAAACCCTTAGTGTCAAGCACAACGATGCAGTTCTCTTCTCCACTGCTTCATCCACCCTCAGGCAGCAATAACCGCCCATCTCTGACGGCGATACCAAGGGGAGGAGCTGGCGCCCTGAAAAGGAGCATGAATCCCCGCCCAGAACGTGAGGCGGGCCCTCAGACTACAAATCCCGGCATGCAGCACTGACGCTCTCAAAAGTATCCCTTCCTGGCCGGCAAATGACTCTTCCCTGGGTCTATCCTACCATAGAGTGCATCGCACGCACATGGAACTACAGCTCCCACAATCCATCAGCCCTATCGCGATTCTTGCTCCCAGGGTGCAATGGACCGCCCCCCCCCCCCCGTTCGCCCTTTAGACCCTTTGGCATTGCAATCTGGGAGTTGGAGTCCGGGGTACGCAGGTAGCTGGGCGTTGTCAGGATTACAAACTCTCCGCTTTAGGCTTCCTCTTGAAGAGCAGATCTCAGGGACAGTGGTGAAGAGAGGGTGGTAACGGGCAGGCGGAACTCTCCACAGTGCCACCACCACGCAAGGCAGGGATGCTCAGGATACAATTAACTGATAAAATTAACTGTCAGGACGGGAGAGAATTAGGAACCACAGTCATCCAACACGCCACCAAAAGCGTCATTTTCTGTCGCAAATGGCTTTTCTCTTTACCAATATGGTGGCCTGGTCCAGCCACACCTGATGCTAGAACCGAACAGTCCAGTACAACATCCCTAGGAACACTGCTGTCACCGACAGGCGACCAACTCCATCCAACACCACACCTTGTTCCTTTCTGTTCATGCCTGAGGACTCCAAGGGCATGATAGCCCATATCCCATTACCAAAATGGCGAAAGTAGCAGCCTTCTTGTGAGGGCCTGCGGAAGACAATACGCCTGCGCGGGAGGCTTCTGTGTTAACGGAGTGGGAGGGGAGCACTCCCAACACGCCTGCGCAGGACGGAGTCTTCTTAGTTTGCACACAAACACCAATGGATGAAGAGTCCCTGGCTTCCTGCGGCTGCGCCTTGACCCCTACAAGCTTTCCCAAGCGCCTGCGCGAGCCCTCAGGTCCCGCCCTTTTGTCTCAGTGCGCTGGCGCACGGCAGAAAGGTGGGGCTTCGGTCCTCCAGACGAATGCCAGCGCGGCTGCGCGCTGGGGGGTACTCCCTCACCGCGGCTGCGCGGGAGCCAGGCCGCCGGCTGTCACTGCGGTTGCGCGCGGCGAGCGCCGATCCCGGGGCGCCTGCGCGGGTGGCTTTGCGGGCGCTCGCGGTAAGTTTGCGCCAAGTGCGCGGCAGCCGGGACGCAGACGGCGGCGGCGGCGAGAGGCGGAGCCCGGGGACCACCCCCCATCACCCTCCCCCCAGTCACCTCACGTACCACAACCTCACCTAACCTCTTACCCCCCCCCGTCCGATACCCCCAGCCCCGGGATGGCAGCGCCCGCCAGCCTTCCCGGCCGGACCGGCGGTCGCCAGTGCCGGCTTTAGCCTGTGGGACTAGGCCCTGCCGAGGCCTGACCCCTGGAGCCAGGACCCACTGTGCAGCCAGCAGCCGGGCCGGGACTGAGGGGCTGCTCCCCCCTCGCGGCCCGTCGGGAGGACGCTGTCGTCCCGGGGACTGGGGGCCGGGGGGTGGGGGGGAGCCAGGGCGAGGAAGTCGGGACCCGTGTTGGGAAAAAAGAAGCGGGACCGGGGTCAGGAGCGCCCCCTACCCCCACCTCCCCCCTCCCCCCGGGGTTGGGGGGGCCGGAGCAGAGAGCACCCAGCCCGGGAGGTGGATGAATGTGGGAGAAAATGGAGACCAAGACGATCGTGTACGACTTGGACACATCAGGGGGGCTGATGGAGGTAAGAGTGGCCCTCCTCATCCCCTTCCCCCAGCGCCGGGAGGGAACCTCCGCCCTCCGCCCCACAAAGCCGGTCCTAAACTCGAAGCGCCCAGAGAACCGAGGGAGGGGGATTCTTCCTCACTTAGCCTCTCCCTCCCCTCTTTGCAATTTAGGGGGCTGAGCTCAGCCTCCGAGGACGTTTGCAGCAGTTTCACCTACCCGCCGCCCTCGATTCGCTCTCCCCAGGCGCCAGCCCACTCCATCTCGTTGCACCGGCAGGCCTCCCCACCCCCTTCTTGTTGGCCCCTTTGTGCTTCCCCCAGCACGTCCGGGTACCGGGCTTCGGGCCTCTCCAGAGCCAGGCTTTGGAGTCCCCCACTGTCCATACAAGGAAGTGGCCAAGAAGGGAACCGCGCACCCTCTTCCCATCCCCCTACCCTTGATCCTCCCCATTTGGAAGAAGCTGTTCTCGTTCTTGTGCTGCAGGAACGCGGTTAGGGTGGGCTCCCCCTGGTTCCGGGGGCTGAGAGGTTCTGGGAGCAGCCTGGATGGGAGGAAGAAGGACAAAAGGGGGGAGAGGGGTGGGTGACGGAGAAGCCGCGCCGGGGGGGCGACGGACCGCCCGGGAGCTCCGAGTGTGCACACACGCC